TCATAATACTAATTTCCAATAATGAACCAAAATAGAGGTTTTTTAAGGCTTAAAGTCCCACAAAGACATTTTCCCATTTCAGGTGGCTTTGTTTGCAGATTTTCAGCAACAATACCTACAGGTTCATTATCAGGAACACATGAAATGCTACTTGATTTGCAACTAAAATCACAATGTAGGCACACAGCATTACACTGCCGGAAGAATGGAAAGCGGGGTCAGAAGTAAGTGCACCCAGACCCATTGACACCATGAATCAAAGCCGCAGGGAAGTTGTGGACTCGAGAAAAAATGTCTTCCGCTGCATTATTGCATTTCCCAACTACTAAGGGAGTGCAGTGGTGAAGCAGCCACCCAGAGACCCAATTTTGAAACAAACTGTATAAATTAAATAATAAAATGAATGAACATTTTTCTTTTTAAACACGACATTAAACAAGTTTGTCCAAATATCCTTTCCAAGAACAAATGACTGAATTAATAGCCTTTAGTTTGCAATACAATATATAGAAGCAAAATAAAAAAATTAAGTAAACAAATGGTTTAGTTCATAACCAAGAGTACACTAATAACTTATTTCGAATAAGTTTATTGTTTATGAAATAAACAATACTTTGATATGAGGGGTAACAACAAAAGTCAGCAATTTTTATCTCCACAAATAATATGAGTAATGCAAGAAATTTTAAATTAGCACCAAGGAAGGTAAATAATCAATTATTAATTTAATGCCACGACATCAAACAATACCTTCAAAGTATTCTCCCAAACAATTCCCATGAAGGCCATCGAACAGACTTGGTCTCCTCATGGAAAATATCCCTCTCAGATCTCACTGACTAAGGCAAATATTCAAAAGACCAAAGTGTACCCCAATAGTAAGCTGAATAGCCTGGTCCCATATCGCTATGGCTGAAGATGTTCATATGACAAAACATTTATGGTCTCCTGTGATTTTACATGCCTATTGGAGGTATTATTATTACCAATAATTGAGTTTTATTCACTTGGTCTCATGCTTAATATATAATTCAAGAATTGCAATATTATTTAACACTGGTATATTAAATGTTAATATTATATCATGACTTATCCAGTGTGTAATGCATAAATCTCATAACCGACCTGCATAGGGGCGAAAAGCTAGTTGCCCATTGGCAAGCATTGTTTATTTAACACAGTTAACTGAATGAAATAGGTCTTGGATTTCCAATTAGGTACCAAAACTGGCATTATAATTTCCTAAAAAGGCGCTTTAAAATTGATATGAAAATAACATATATAGAATTAATTTGTTATTTACTTCAAACTTTTATTACCACAAATATCCACCAACACTATTTTAATTCCAATGCATGCAGAAATTTAAAAGAAACTGCCTCCGCAAGGAAGGATCTGGTTTCATTTGATGACACTGGAACTCGAAAAAAAAATGAAAATCACAATGAAACCATTAGATTATTACAGAAAAAATTGCAAAACATTTCCATTATGTTACTCAGACTCTTTTTCATAGCATGTTGTATCAACTAAATTCTGCACCTGGAGCATATTCTTTGAGCTAATTTGCAACGTGTGTCCCGCTTGCTGCACATGCCGCCGACCGCTGCCCCCATCACTGCTACTAATAGGTTGGGGCTACTGAACTGGAGATGAGCATTGAACAATGACAGACGGGATTTGACCACATTGGCTCCGGAATAAATAACAGTATTTACTAGTATTTAGTTTTCTTGCTATGGTGATTCTGTGCACTTGGCTGCATTCACATCACCGAATCGCTACATTTATTGATATGAAGCCGAAGTTGTGTGTGTCTTGCCCGAGAAGGTGCAGTGTACGAGAGCGAGTGTACGAGAGCGAGATGTACGAGAGCGATGTGTTACGAGAGCGAGTGTACGAGAGCGAGTGTACGAGAGCGAGTGTACGAGAGCGAGGGTACGAGAGCGAAGTGTACGAAGAGCGAGTGTACGAGAGCGAGTTACGAGAGCGAGTGTACGAGAGCGAAGGGTACGAGAGCGAGATGTACGAGAGCGAGTGTACGAGAGCGAGTTACGAGAGCGAGGTGTACGAGAGCGAAGTGTACGAGAGCGAGTGTACGAGAGCGAGGTACGAGAGCGAGTGTACGAAGAGCGAGTGTACGAGAGCGAGTGTACGAGAGCGAGTGTACGCAGAGCGAGTGTACGAGAGCGAGTTGTTACGAGAGCGAGCTGTTTACAGAGAGCGAGTGTACTGAGAGCGAGTGTTACGCAAGAGCGAGTGTAACGAGAGCGACGTGTACGAGAGCGAGGTACGAGAGAGCGAGTGTCGAGAGCGATGTACGAGAGCGAGTGTACGAGAGCGAGTGTACGAGAGCGAGATTGTCGAGAGCGATGTACGAGAGCGAGTGTACGAGAGCCGAGTGTACGGGAGAGCGAGATGTACGAGAGCGAGTGACGAAAGCGTAGTGTACGAAGCGAGATGTACAGAGCGAGTTTACGAGAGCGAGTGTACGAGAGCGAGTGTACGAGAGCGAGTGTACGAGAGGCGAGTGTACGAGCAGCCGAAGTGACGAGAGCGAGTGTACGAGACGAGTGTACGAGAAGCCGAGTGACGAGAGCGAGTGTAACGAGAGCGCAGTGTACGAGAGCGAGTGTACGAGAGCACGAGTGTACGGAGAAGCGAGCTGTACGAGAGCGAGTGTACGAGAGCGAAGTGTACGAGAGCGAGTGTACGAGAGAAGAGGTCATCGAGAGCGAGTGTACGAGAGCGAGTGTACGAGAGTGACAGTGTACAGAGAGTGAGATGTACGAGAATAGAGTGTTACGAGAAGAGTGTACAGAGAGTGAGTGGGCCTGAGAGAGTGTACGAGAGTGGACGAGAGAGTGTACGAGAAGTGAGTGTTACGAGAGTGAGTGGACGAAGAGAGTGTACGAGCAGTGAGTGTACGAGACTAGAGTGTACGAGAAGTGAGGACGAGAGAGTGTACGAGAGTGTACAAACGAGAGTGTACGAGACGTGAGTGAGCGAGTGAAGTGAGTGTGCGTGCGAGAGAGGTGAGCGTGCGAGTGAGAGTGATTGTGAGCGTGCGAGTGAGAGTGAGTGAGTCTTGCGAGTGAGAGTGAGTTGAGACGTGCGAGGTGAGGAGTGAGTGAGCGTGACGAGTAGAGTGAGTGAGCGTGCGAGTGAGAGATGCCGAGTGAGAGTGACGTGGCGTCGCAGGAGTGAAGATGAGGGAGCGTGCGAGTGAGAGTGAGTTGCAGCGTTGCGAGTCGAGAAGTGGGAAGCGTGCGAGTGAGTGAGCGTGCGAGTGAGAGTGAGCGTGAGCAGTCGCGAGTGAAGAGTGAGTTGAGCGTCTCGAGTGAAGTGAGTGAGCGTTGCGAGTGAGAGTGACTGAGCGTGCGAGTGAGAGTGAGTGAGCGTGCGAGTGATGGTGGTGAGCGTGCGGTGAGAGTGAGCGTGCAGTGAGCGTGCGATGTGAGAGTAGCGTGCAGAGTGAGTGCTTGCGAGTTGAGAGTGAAGCGTGCGATGTAGAAGATGATAAAGTCGTGCGAGTGAGAGGAGCGTGCGAGTGAGATGAGCGAGCGAGTGAGAGTGAGCGAGCGAATGTTGAGAAGTGAGCCGAGCGAGTGAGATGTGAGCGAGCGAGTGAGATAGCGAGCGAAGTGAGAGTGAGCGTGCGAGTGAGAGTGAGCGTGCGAGTGAGAGTGAGCGTGCGAGTGAGAGTGAGCGAGCGAGTGAGAGTGAGCGTGCGTGCGAGAGAGAGAGAGAGTGTGTGTGTGTGTTATTGTATCTTGTTTCTTTGCACATCCCACCACCTCACAAAGTCAGTGCAAGGTTAATTAATAATCCTCCTCCCTCATTATGGCTAGCTGGGTCAACAGTGATTGAGTTATAAGGGGGATTATAACATTATGGAAAATCAATCAATTTTGTGAAAAAATGGCATTTAATGGAGGTGACCACCAAGGTGGTCATTTGGGCAGGTTTCACTGTATATAAGTAAATACATTAACAAGAACTCACTCACTAGAACACAATAACCTTCATACAACGAACCCAATTTCCATTGTACAGTTTGCCAAAATATGATAACCAAACGACATGAAAACTGGTGGTCGGAAGCTGCTCAACTACTGAGGGGCATTTAAAAATATCTAACAAAACAATTAAAACAAATCTGTAAGAAATGAAATCTACAAATCAGATAGCTTTTGGTAGAAGTTGCAGCAATCACACCTGGATCTTTACGCATTTGTTAGTAATTTAAATAGTACTTCTACTGTGTTTATTAGATTGAAATGTTACATTTTCCCTTTTATGTTATTCCTTAGAAAATGCTCATTCATTAACATGTACATATTTTTATATCAAATGAAAATGCAAATAGGAAATAAGTATAAAAAGTAAGGAAATTCCATATCGTGCAATTTTGAAAGCAGGATTTTTGGTACAGACTTTTCTTGCCATGGTAACACATACCATTTTCACCAAAAAATACTATTTTCCACCCATGGGGACATTACTTAAATCTGGATCTTGACCTATCATACTGTCATTAAATGTCAATACTGTAAAATGTTGTACACTCAACTGCTGCAGCTGGAATCAATGAGTTAGAGAACAATTGCTCAATGAGTTGTATATGTAAACACATTACACCATGAGACAATGCTGTTTCACCCACAGAGTTACTTTACACTGGATCATGAAGTAGTTTTGAAGTGAATAAAAGAAACACTATTTTATTATCAAGTGAAAGTGAAGCAAATTCCACGCTGAAAATATTGCATTACATGTACTGTTTGTTTTTTTGACCATGAAAGAGAAACTTTTATAAAATTTATTTATAATATATCTCACGATTTTAAGTTAATAATGAATAAATTAGACCTTTCACAATCTTGTAGGTGTTATAATTCACTCAATTTTCTCCTACTACCAAAATTATGTATATAGATAGATAAATTTTGCAGTAACCTTCATATTCAATATAACGGGTAGAAAACAACAAATAATACCTGCATAACGTGAGTTAGTGCTTGAAGCAGACGGAAGAGCAGGACTCCCTGCAGGCTGAGACTGAGTCGGACTTTGCAACGGAGCATACGGATGGCTGCCCGTGGGGGTGCTGGCACTGGAAGCTGTTGGACTGGGGAAAAGGCTCAGTCCCAGTAAATCACTACTCGCTTTTCTGTAGAATAAAGAGTCTCTATAACAATCTACTTTTAAGCGCTACGGTCTGAGGCCAGATCAGCTTCACTTCACTTCACACCTTCTTACTCAAGACATTAAATCACATTATTTTACAAAAAAAGTAACCAGGCCAGCAATAAAAGCCACAAGCCTTCCTTCATGCAAATACAAATGGAAGTTTTTAATGATTGCTTGTTAGAAACACTTACCCTCCACCTAGCTGCTGTGATACAGAATGTGACCTTTTCATATGAGCATCGTTTTCAGCAGTTGAACCTCTTCGAGCCTGAAATGGCGATAGGGTACAATAAGCTCAAAGAATCTTCCTCATTGTGCTTGTATTAGTACAAATTAATTCAACATACAGAAACAGCTACTGGAGACGGTGATAAAGAGAGATTTTCAACAGTTGCACGTAATTCGTCCACACTTGCACTCATAGGAGCAGCACCATTTCCCAAGGGTTTGATTTCCACATGTATTTTATGTTCACGTTCTTCTTCTAAGGGCATTATCCAAATAGAAAAAAAACACAACAAAAAAATTATAACCCAGAAGGAGGAAAATTCCTTGTATAATATAAACTAAGTTAAGCAGTATCTCTCAAAATATTGTGAAAGAGACTATTTAGAGTTGACAAATTGCATAAAATGTTATCAAAATATCAGAAACAAAAGGATTGAAGAAAAACTGAGATTTAATTTAATAAAAAATAATAAATTAAAAATTTACATTCTCAATAAAATGAGAAACATATGTAGATAAAGCTGGAGACTGTAATCAAATCAAATGAAACAGAAAATACATAAAACAGACCACAAATCTATTGCATACAATCTGAATGTCTCACCGGAATCTGTGTCAGAGCTTGAATAAAAGCTTCCTTTGTCGTTTTCCCATGGATCAACTTTTGGTCTTATACAGTATCCTTCATCGTCTACTTCTGGAGTAGGGGTTCCCGATTTTCTTTCACCTTTCTCCTCTCTGTAAGAACCAACTCAAGATTTTATGAAATTGCTTGCTTGAATTTTCCAGCCCAAGATCACTCTAACACATTTAATCAATAGATAAAAATAAATAATTTACAATACATTACATAAAAACCTGTTGACAAGAACACCGAGATAGGGCATATTGAGCATATTAAAAATCATTGAAATAAATAACAAGCTGAGTGCCCAAATGAACATTTTTCAGGAGCCTAAAAAGGCATTTATTTATTGCACATTATGAAAAGAAAGGTGTCATTTCATTAACAAACTATATTTATACAATGTTTATATTATAATATCCAATGTTATTCAATGATGTCCAAATAATGGAAACAAACATTTTTATCAAATATTTGTGATCAATTTCATTGAATGTACCATTAGCAGCAAGATAAAGTCACACAAATAAGAGCATTTTGTTTTTGTTTTGTACTGCTAAATTATCACTCGCTATGTTTAAAATTCCCTTTCCATAATTTGCAAATACTGACTTTACCTCCTGGTTAGGTGGAGCTCATTTTTGTACATGTTTTCCACTCATCTTTCTCTCTGCTTTCCACGGCTATTTCCATGTATATTTTTAAAAAAACTAACACCTTTTCCTCGGTGTAGATTAACTCATTTCATTGGTTGATTTTCACCTCTATACACACGACCTTTTTGGCACTTAGGCTTTTATTTATTTCAACAATATAAATATTGCTTTAAAGAAGCTCATTAAAATATTAATATAAACCACAATTCTGTAATATTAAACTAACATACAATATAGATCACTTCAAAATAACAAACTGTTGGAACAATAACAAATTTATAGATTGACAACAGGAATGCAAGGTTGGTGATCATTACTTTGATACACTTTGCATTAACAAAAGTGTTCGAGATGATAAATTAACTGTACCATATGAAGCAAAAAGGGAAATTTCAATCACAATATTATCTTATCAAAAAAATGCGAGTAAAGGATAATTAGACACGTTTATTGTGAAATAACTTGCAAACAAAGAGATTTGCACAGCAAACAAATATACAAGTACTCAAATTGTTTATTTTATTTCAGACTTTCTCAATGAACACCTTTAACAAAACCTAAAATACAATATTGAAATGCAATTATTTCTAATTTAATGCATTTGCACGTTTTTCTCAACAATGATCATGAAATACAAAAAACACATTTTCAACAATTGGTATGGACCTCAGACTGCTAAAGAAAGTATCGCATCACAGCAAAAAAAAATCAAATAACAGAAAGCCAAATTTCAAAAGATCACCAATTGGTTATGCATCCATCAAACAATGGATCCTAGTAAAAACTTACACATCTGACTTATCTTCTTTGTTGCTTGTACTGTCTGAACCATCTTTCTTCTTTTTGGCTTTCTTTTCTTTACGCTTTTCTCTCCTACTTCTAAGAAACCCTGCAATTCAAATATTTATATCATCCATATACACAAATTGAATTTGATGGATCATCTTTAAGAACCATGGAAACGATCTACAAGCTCATTTGGTTGCAATAAGTTCCGTGCATGATGATCAAGACAATTTATTGAAAGATAAGCTTCTTTAGCCAAATATCAATTTCACTGTAATAAATGTTCACAAAGACCTCTGTAAAGATAAAAATTTAATAATAAACAGCATCAATATTCAATGAGTGATGTTCATGTGTAACACAATATACACATCATAGAACACAATTACTGCTTCCCAAAACACCATTTCTCTCATGGTGGAATCGCAATGCTGACCTTAAGATGGCATTAAAATTATTTTTCACAATATGTTCATTATGCCTGCTTTGACACAGCTAATTTGTTTTCATAGCAAAAAATTAAATAATTCTCACATTAAAGAATCCCAAATACTTTGCGATAATGAGGTTAGTACAATAAAAGCCACATACACATGAACTAAAGCATAGTGTTTTAGCAAGAGAACTTTAACCATCCAATGTACACAAAAACTATTTTCCAATACACACAATCATAAAGAAACATTTTATTGAAACAAATATGTAAATTTGTATTTACATTTCTTGCAAATCCATTTACTACATTAATTTCTAGATCCCACATAAAAAGTCAACAAATGTTTTCATGCTTCTAATTACCCGATTACAAGCAAAATTTTAATATTCTTATATCACAGTTAAAAGAAAAATTCCTGGCAACACTGAAATGATCATGATTAGTGTTATACATTAACACATTAATTTACAAGAGAGGAAGGTCAATACATACACCTGGGATTTCTTTAAATGTTGCTGTATGAATTTGTAGTCTCCTTGCCAATGAAGCATTTAAATATTTAATGTTTTGCAAACCAATTTGTAATATAACCTGGAATACCACTGAATCCTCAATTAATTCCTAATAATAAAATGTAGCAATTAAAAAAAATAGTAATAAAAATAACTAATCACTGAAAATCCAGAATCAACCAATCCTCTAAAAACAAAATCTATATATCAACTAATAACAAAATAACTTGTCTTAATAAGATTAAATAATAATTATAAAACTATTTCTCAGTGTTTGAAATCCCATAAACAAAAACACATTTGATTTTCCCTTGATGTTTCCATGTTAAACAGTCTGTGTTTACAAAATCCTATTAATTTACAAGATCTTCTCTATGGTTCACTACATTACTTTGAAGAAACAAAATTAAAATAAAGCGATTCAAAAGAGATAATGGATGTTATGGAGTCTTAAGAATGCACTTACTTTTCAGAATGCAAAGTTAACAATTTTTATATAACACACTATACTTATGACAGCTTAAGAAACTTTGGTACTGATACATTATAAATATATTGAATATTCCAGTTTTCAATAACTTTTCTTCCTTAAGAATGGCACCCATTACAACTATGGACAGTATATCACATTTAATAATAATACCCACGCAAAAAGAATCACAAAATTCATATAACAAAATTATAAACTAACTACATTGAGAAAGTTATTCTACAAGCTTGATGGAATTTGGTACCTTCATAATATTTCTTGGTCAACATAATATTCTGCACAAGAAAGTGTGTCACAGAGATGCAAGTTGCTAGATGCCACTTATCCACTTTAGAACGAGACGTACAATGTCCTAAAATGAGCCACTTGCTTTATATACTGACACTGCAACGGAAGTAATAAGCCGAAATTGGTCAAGGTCACTAAGGTTGTTTTTGTTTTGTTTTTTCCTCCATAGGTGCTGATTGGGCAAAATCAAGAACCACTGGATTATTCAATATATAGTTATAAAAATCATTAACTCCTGTGTATTAGGTCACTCATTTCATATTGATTTATTGCAAAAAAAAAACTTTATTAATTCACAATTTAAAATTAAAGTATTTAATAATTACATTCAAATAAAAAAGGGAAGTCTATTTAGAACAAAAAGAGGAAAGAAAAACCTACATCAAGGAAAACAACTTAATATCTTAATATATATAT